AAAAAAAGATGGTATTCGGTAGCATTGAATTACATTTTTATGTGCAGCAGCATGTGGTGCAATAAAAAAACAGCTCCATGTGCTTTTACACGTTTCTGCGCAGGGCTGCGGCCACTCAGCCCTCTATGTCACTGCTCATTTCACGGCACTCCCATCAGGAGTTGGTCCCGCTCCGTTGACGGTGCATTGCCCGGAGTTCCAGCGATGCACGGGTGCGGTGGCGCTAATTGAATTTAGCCGGCGCATGCCGCGTGCGCCGGCTCGTTTTTCATGTCGGCTCATTCCCAGTTGGTGCAACGTGAGCCGGGGGACGGGGGCAGCCAGCTCCTGACGGCGTGCGCCGCTGTAGGTGCGCCTCTCTCCAGAGTGGATTACCTGCGCCCAGCGCCCAGCCGCTAATTAAAATCGATTTCTTCCCGGCGGACAAATACCTACTACGGCTCGTGAACCGTCCGCCCGGAGGGATGTGAGTTCGACCGGGACGGCTGAGAAGGGGACAGACGCCACGTAAACATGGGAGGGCGCGGCCGTGGTGAGTTTTTAATCAGGGAATAGGGGAGCCGGTAACAATATCAGGACAGACAAGTGAAGGTGAAGAGGCCCCCTGGCAATAATAATAGCACTAAAACAGCGAAGTCCATCATAAACGCTCTGCTAGTCACTCCCTTCCTTCTATCTTCCCTCCCTCCTCCCCCCTCCCCTCTCTCTCTCTCTCTCTCTCTCCCTCTCTCTCTCTCTCTCTCTCGCTCTCTCAGCATTTCCTCCCTTCCTCTCTCGCTTTTCCTATCTCCTTCCTCCTCTCCCTCTTCGAAAAGGACGAAACGAACGGTCCTTCTCGTTCCGAGTCGACTGATTTGACGGCGCAGGACGACAGAACACCTCGCCCACCGGATCCCAGTGGCCATCAGCAGCAGCCGGCAGAGGTCGATAGCCAATCATCCTCTGTCCAGAGATCCTGCTGGCTATATGTCTAGAAAACCCGGCGAGTTCATCTAGAGAGCCTACCGTTTACATCCAGAAAATCTGCCTACGGCGTCCATAGAACAATACGCCCGGGAGAACATCCAGAGAACGCCAACGGAACGTTAAAAAAAACCTTCAAAGAACGTCCATGAGCAATGAACGGTCCAATGCCCACGAACATAAGAAACGCTCAAAGAACGGCCAGGAGCGTCCAGAAAACGGCTGCCGCCGGTAGCCTCCGTTCGTGTGGTTGGCATTCCAGTGCCGTCGAGCCATCCAGTGTGTCCCTCTCCACCCCCCACCCTCCCCTTCCCCCGAACGGAGGCCTGGGGTCGTGCGGCCGATTTCTGGCCTCGAGCTCCATCATTCAATCGCACTCGAGCCTCTCGAGGAAATTCAGTTTTCAATCTGCTGCCGCAGGCCAAATTTCCTGCAGTCGAAGCGTATACTGCCGACGGCAAATATAACACATCTTTCTCCGGGCCCAGCTCCCTGTTCCACGTGTCTACCTCTGACGCTCCATCCACACTTGGCACTTTTATGTATCGCACAATCACTCAACCACCCCCTTCCTCTCTTCCCCTTCTCCCACGGGATGTATTTTTTATGCATTTGCCCGATTAAATCAAGGCTTTGATTACTCAGGGGAAAATAGGAGGCCCTTACGACTCCATCGACGCACGGTATTTTTGTTCAAATGAATTAAATGTTTCCCAAATGAAAAATATCACGATGGAAGTTACTGAACTGCGGTGATTAAGTAGAAAGCCTATATGATAAGGAAGCACATGCCACATGGGTATCTAGATTTCATTGTCCAGAGCCCGCCAGTCAGTCAGGAAATGTCAGAGGCTTTGAAGGACGGTCGCCGGTCGGGCAGCCCGCAGTGACACCAATTTCCATTCATTCGCCGCGGAGAGAGCGCGCACACCTCACTACTATACGAGAACTCGACGGACTGCGCTGAACGTGTGATCAACGTTATGTAGCCAAGCACCGAGAAGTGGAAACCACAAAGCGCTTCTAATTTATATCCAGCAGTATTTCCTCTGCGATTGTGAGGGTAGTCACTGGTTACTTCTTAGCCACCATCTGACTCCGACTTATCACACCATTTGACATCTCCTTTACATGCCTAGCAGTTTTGAATTAGTTGGCGCCGATCAGCTTCAAACTGCCTTTTGAAACATCACATGTGACCATATATTGGCTGCTAGAAAGTCTCGATGAGAGTTGGACGCCGATTGCCAAGCGGGCAAAGCCGCGGACAGCTCGCAACAGACAACCGCTGTCCCGCGACCGCGGCGGTCCGCACACCAGCACCCTGTCAGTTTCGGCAGGTGGCGCCACCGCCGCAGTATAGGTGACGCCACCTACGTGAGTATCACCGGGCGCCGCTCTGATTTGTCGCTGCGCCGGCCTGCCTCTTTGTACTAGTCTCACATGTCGCGCGCGGCGCAGTATCACCGCGTGCGCACACGCCCCTATTGGTCCGCAGTCCGCACGGTGGCCCAACACGCCGCCACAGACATAACAGCCCACCATAAACACCTTCACACAACTGACTCAACACCGGCCGGTTAGCCAGCAATAAACGCCCCGGCCCAGAGCTGACCGCACTCTCAGAGCACCACACCCGCACTACACAGCAGGCTACCGGCCACATCCACTCTGCACGCAACATCAACACATCTGGCGCGGCATCCAACAGTTATCCCGGAGAAAACTGAGGACAGAGTACACGCCAAACGGGGTCCCGCAGAAACAGCGTGGATTGACATTCAGCAATGAGGCAGCGATGAACACAGTAGCTCTACCCCGCAGCTTGGAGAGCGCCGTAACGAAGCACTTCGTGCACCCGCGCTCCACAACCACCGCAGCTCAATAATATCGCACCAACTGATCACTGGCAAGAGACGACTAATATCAGATGTGAGTGGTGTGCACTGCGGCGGTCGGCCGCAGCGGCGGGTGGCGCCACCGTCGCCACGGTATAGGTGGCGCCTCCGTCGACTGAGCGGCAGCGGTGGCCGGCCGGTCGCCGTTGGACGCCGGCCGGCACGCGGCTCACTCCATCACCTCGTTCTTGCTGACGCAGCACGGTAGCACGCCCGAAACATACGGTCGCAGTGACGAGAGCCGACTGTTGGCCACAGTAGAGCCACCTGGTGGCGCGGTGGCGCACTGCACACTGTTGGACTCACCGTCAGAGGCCAGCACCTCCTCGTCCAACCGCTCATTGTCGAACACGTCAATGCTCTGCACGTTTGTGGCGTTTCGGCGACTGCATATGTCAGCCATTCGCTGCCAGCAGCGCCGATTTGCCTTGGTCTGCGCGTACACCTCCTCACAGGCGGGGAACAGCGATCCCATCAGGCTGCGGAGAGGGAGGGGAGCATGTGTCAGCATGTAAAAACGATCCCATCACGGTACGGAGACCGGTGACGGCGAGGGAGGGGGACCGGGGAGCGTTAAATAGGACATGCCAGAATCACACGGAAACGGGAATTTTCAAAAAGCACTAACCTGACACGGTTATTGTTTGAAGCACCAATAGGTGACGCGGAACGTATTCGCTCTAGCAGTTAGACTCAAAGGCAGCTAACCCAATCATCAAAATTCTCAAAAGGACTTTAGCAAGGACAAACGGAAAACGCGATCTTTCAGACATCTTTAGAATCCAGCCCTAATGGTACCCCGTGTAACACATCCCGCGTGGAATGCATGGTTAGAGCTCCGTAAGGGAGAATCAATCACAACTGACGCTAAATGCACAGCGCACGATGTACTGCAACGAACCTCTCGACGCATTTACGCACCTGTATACCGGCAGGGCGATGTCATCCAGGAACTGAATCTGCAGTTTCGGTATAAAGGCGCGCTCGCGGTCCATCATTTCCGAGGGGTCGTTACCCATCTGCTTCTCCATATCGCCCTGGGAGAAGAACTCGCGGTACACCAGTTTCTGTCAAGGGAAGAACGCACAGCGGTTAAAACGGATCGGAGGGCAGAGGAGCGGCATAGCCACCGTTTAACCATTGCGCTACACTTACTGTTTGCGGTAGGCTACCATTTCTTGAAATGCAACCAAGTAGTGACTGGCTGATGTAAATCAGGTTTGCGCGATATATTAGGCGTGGAACAAATTAGCGAAGCGATCCGACACGTGGAGACGTATGCTGTTATGTTTGACGTTTGGCTTACACCAATAGTCAATACATAATAGACTCGTTGGCGGATATGACCATTAGTCGACTAAATTATCACTATTGACTTGAGAGTCTTACAAGAAGAGAGGTGAACAGGCCGCGAAAATAACGGACGAACAACATCACGTCTGATAGAGTACGCCGTCTCCTGAAATAACGAGACCTCATTAATGCAGCGTCAGATCAGACATATGATCCTCTCAGGCACAGGATCTCAGCGAAATGAGGCTCTGCGTACGCATACCATGCAGGCCCCCCCCCCCCCGACCTCACAGCCTGAACCGTGACCTCGCACGAAGACATTGGATGAATATAGCTAACCCAAATCCGAAGACAAAGGACAGAATCGGTCAAACAATGAAACGCAATATCGTGGCTTCTCTGTAAGACATTAACAAGCTCCAATTCCCCATATACTTCATCATAATCGTGCCAGCCACCGCTATTATGACCTCCTAGATCGGCTCAGATGGCACACCAGTCCACTGACTGACTTGTAAAGCCCGGTTACCACCGTCAGAAGCCCGTCAGACGACAAATGACATTGCCGACGCATTGTCGCTCATTACGCCAGCTTACGCCATCAACTATGCACCGCCACGGAACTTAGAGCCGTCTCAGCGAGCGAGCTGCGCACGAGAGCCGGGCAGCACGTTTTCGGCGGCGAAACTACCACCATCACTCAGGTTTACCGGTCTCCTACAGCTCGAGCGGCGCGACAGTTGCAAACAAACGCTCTGTGGCCTTCGCGTCAGTCGGTGTCACAGAGCGCGGCCCACCCAGAGCGGCGAGAAATACAGCGCAAACAGACAGAGCGGCGTGGTCCAACTTCCGACACGCCATAGCTGGCGGCGGGCAGACGGCGTATGTGGTGTGTAGGCACTACATGTGCAGCTACTGGAGTAAGGCGGAGTAGGACTACGGGTGGAGCTTAAGGAAGATAGTGCTCATTGCTCAATATGTATGACATGGTAGACTCCCTGGGTCGTTTTGGACACCCCCCATAAACAGAGGCCTAATTTGAATATTTCGCCGGGGGCAGAATAACTCTGAGACACAAATTTGGAAAATACGCCTTACTCGCCAGCTCGGCAGGTGTCACTTAAGCACGTCGGAAGCTTGTCTCGCGGACCACCCCTTGAGTTCTTAATCGGCCTTGTCGATATAAGGAAGCAACAGTCTGAAACCATCGTCCCAACCAAACTTGATTGTTATCCATTCCGATAACCACCCACCCCGGCTCAGGACGTTTGCCATCTTCACCGCTAATAAGGACTGTTACGTAACACAATGACTACTTAAAGCCGCAATAATCCATACCTGTCGGCTAATACAGTAGCGGAATTCGTCGAATGAACAATGAAACCCTGGTCCGCGGCGCGACCGCGACAGAGCACAGCGCAGCGCTCTGCGGCATATATAGCCTTCTCCGTAGCGTACAGATGGATGTGACTGGTCCCCGCGGGTAATGCGCCACATTAAAACGCCGCCAGCCACCCCAGTTCCCGATTTAGCCGGCGTCCGGCCGCCCCCATTACCCTGATATTGACCGCTGGCCGGCTGCGCGACGCCAGTACAGTGTTCGGTAGGGACTGCCGGGAACTACTGAAAGCTATGGGACAAAAACGTATAGGTACTCTACCCGCATATAGCCGGGCCATGCCTACGGGTGTCAGTTACAGTATCGTGTACGGAATACAGACCACCACGTGCGCTAGTAATGAGTGCGGCGTAGTGTGTTCCACATGCGTCTCGCTTTAAAGGCTGCCCAGTATAGCCTACTGACTACTTTCGTGTTCAATGCTAGTATACGCCAATACGTTAGCGCTGTGTACACTTCGCGTGAAACCCAGCCTAGTTACGGCTAACGGGCTGCCTCTGTGGGTTGCAGTGTACGCCGCATGAGCAATATGCAGTGTGTGCACCGACGTAATACGCAGCCTAGTAACAGCCCCGACGGGCCACGGACCGCCTCAGTACTCCCTAAACGCCATGCGCCGCTGTGGTAACTGCGGGTCGCCAGCCACGGGCGCCCGGGGGGACTCACCGCGGCCTTTTTGCTGCTGAGCCAGCGCTTGGTCTGATCGGAGAGGTCAGCAGCGGTCATCAGAAGCGAGTGCAGCAGCCGGCGGTGGCGTGGTTCACATGAGCGGTAGCCGCCGGACGCCATCGCCTCCAGCTCTGTCATGATGCTGAGGTGGCGACTCAGGTCGGTGGCTGGAAGGAGACAGGCGGTCAGACAGGTCAACCAGGCAAACATTCAGACAGCAACGGTCAGAGGTAGTAGCAAACAGCAAGGCAAACGAAGTCAGACATACACATACATAGACAGCAGGATCAGGCAGTTCGACAGGACCAAACGAACAGCTAGACAGGTTCCCAAAGCCACAGACAGCGAACTCACTGTTAGACACAATCGTTTCGGAACTCGGACAGCAGACACAATCGGTCGTGTTGTGGCTTTAGTAACAAATATCAGGCGAGGAATATTGGTCTCCATGGCGGTACGCGATACACAAATCAGCATATTACAACCACCGGAGCCTTCTCAAAATCAAGTGCAATAACTTAACCGGCAGGATATAACTCACAAATTAGAAAAGAGGATAAAAAACTGTGGTGAGACAACAAGAAGAGAATAAAAGCCCGCATGATATGCTCAGTAGGAGCCATCAGCAACGGTACAGCTCTGGTAAAACATAGATCGCCACTTTGTCGTTCGGCTGTTAAGCCCATAAAATAATTCTAAGCCGAAGAAATTATGTAACTACACTGTAACTGCAGGCTACTGTTTTATAAGTCCGATAAATCAACTGAGTCTACTGCGCCGTTAACAGCCTACAATATACGAGATTACTGACAGCAAGCTGAGTGTTAACTACGCTTCCACCAACTCCAATCAGCAGCGTGATTGGAGTCTGTACACATATTAGTGATGTCAGCTACGGAAAATATTGATACCGATACCAAACCAAATACCAACCAGTAAAACGCCTTTTGGGCGACCAACGGAGCGAGCGAGAGGATGGGCCTTGCACGTGCGAAATTGCGAGGGGGTACCTCCAACTAACTTGTGCACTGCACCCTACTAACCGGTCTTTAGCGATGTGCCAAATTTCAGCGCAATCGGCCTAGCCGTTCTCGAGATCTGGAAGCGGCACACTGCACGTGCGCACGTGCAAGCGGGGTCCAAACTGACTTTTGCACGGCACCCTACTAACTGGTCCCCAACCGTGTACCAAATTTGAGCGCAATCGGCCCAGCCGTTCTCGAGATCTGGGAGCGCCCCCTGCACGTGCGCACGTGCTGTAGCACCCCAGCCTTAACACATGCAGATGAATTATCTGATGGAGACCTAACTGTGTACCGAGTTTCAATTCAATCGGCCCAACCGTTGTGCCGTTATTGAGGTTGCAATTTTGGGGGTTCTTAAAAAATGTCCAACTTTACCACGCGCCACGTGCGGTGGTTGGCAAGAACGCATGGTGGCCATCACACCACAGAACTTTTACGTCCAAGTGACATTCAGTAAAGAAGACCGCTTGTCAATCGGATGTCCCGTTCCTAAGATATTAGCTTTTGAAGAGCGTCCCCACGGCCGGCCGGCCGGCCGGCCGGCCGCTCATACTCAGGATTTTCCCTTAATTCAGTATGAGACTCCGCTCGCTTCGCTCGCTCCGTAACAATAACCATGGAAGAATACCGAAACCGAACCAATTTGGTAAACTCAGGAAAATACCAACTTTTTACCAAATTCACAACCTCTTTTACATTAGGGACGATTCACAATACCAACAAAATACCAAATGCATTAGCCTTGAAATACCAAATACCAAGTTGGTATCGGTTCGGTATCGGTATACCAAAAAGTTGGTATCTGATTGACATCTCTAACACATATAACTGCGTCGGGCTGTCTAATTACTCACCGAGTATCATGCCGCGCACCATGTCCAGACACTGGGTGTAGTCTTTGGGAGGCAGCTCACTGAGAATGTTACAGCCGTCCGTGTTCAATATGCACACCGACTGCGCAAAGTGGTGTTGCTGAAACGAAGGCAGAATACAATTATGTCAGGCAAAATGAACATTTGAAAAGCTAGCTGCAACCCAGTAATAGGCTCAATGTGTCAGGTGGGATTTGATTCGGTTACGGCAACGCCAGAGTCTAATAGTAATTTCTCAGACAGGATCTATTTCTATCACCCCTCATGCTTTCCGTACGCGTAAAACACATTTCCAGGTGTCAGCCGTCAGGCGACTCTCGGTTGTATCGAGGGTCCTCGAGTCGCAGTCGGGCAGCTGAGCTGTTCCTTTTCCGGGCGTCTGAGACAATGCCACTTGGCTCCCTGCGGCGCGGCGCTCTGCCCCCTCTCTCCCAGGCCGGTGGTGGCCGGCGCTGCTGGAGCCGCCGCGGCCCGGCGATCAATAGACCGAGCGGGACACAGTCCGCCGGGCCCGGCCCCGGCCGAGGCCGGCAGGAGCACAGCGGAACACAGTCCGTCACAACAGTGGAACACAGCCCGTCAGCCCCAGCAGCGGAACACAGCCCGTCCATCCAAACAATTAGCCCCGAGCTCCATCGCAACAATTAGCAACAATTAGGTGGAGAAACACATCCCGTCACAACAATTACGGAACACAGCCCGTCCCACAGAGGAGCACAGGCCGTCTCACCCAGCACTGGGACACAGCCCGTCCCCGTCTAACCGCCCATTTCGTCCCACCTCTGCACTGCAGTCGCCCTGCTGCGACACTGGGTGACAATCACAGCATGGGCCACGATATACAGCCGTCGCCAGACAGGCGGCGCCGGTTGTAGACGCTTTCCCGGCGCCAGTTCGGCCACGGCGAGTCAGTCTGTCTGTCTACAGACCTCTACAGTCTGTCCCATACCCCCTCAACGCTGAGACCTCGACCGAGGGGCGGGGGGGGGGGGATCTCGTGCTGGGCTTGACCGCGCAATTCGACTGATGGTGAGGTAACCTTCAGACAGGGAAAGACTTAGCTGACACTAATTCTTCATAGCTTATGCCCCCCATATCTTATGTTGATTCGCTATTTGCAACAGTGTAAACAGGCTAGATATATAGTAAATAAAAGAGCGGTAAAATGATTCATTGTGCTGGAGAATAGAGGAGAATTAGATAGTGTCATCGAGTAATGGATACAAGGCTTTGGGCCCTATCTGATGATTTGATGTGGATTTAAAATGCCGACATCGAAAGGAGATAACACAACACCCGCAGGAAGCGAACCATCGACAACTCATAGAGAATGATCGCCTGTCAGTCATCTACTGAGCTGTATGTCTTTTTTTTTACTGAGCTGTATGTCATTGCGATTTATCAACTGACTTAACCTTAATTACCTCAGCAAAACAAAAACATTACATTATTTGTCTCTAAATTCAGATGGAACGTTCATAATGAAGGATGAATATGCTTGATGAATGCTTGATCGAAACCTTTGTTCAGCCCGTGAGGGGGCAACTGATAAAAAAAAATTAACTAAGAGAGGGGAAAATTCCATCCCTCTAGTGAATCCCGACCGGGTATGGGAGAAATGACGGAAAAGTGGATCACACAGAGCATCTAAGCGTTGCCTCGAGTTGTATCGTAATCAGTAACAATACTAGCTGTACCGCACGGAAAAGAGGACGCTATTTTAAGCCCCACACTACATCCATCCAAGCGGAACAGGGGCTGTCAAACAAATCAGTTCCACGAAAACCGTGAGAGGTAAAACAGACAATCGATCCGCACACGGGCTGCAGCGAGCGAGTCTGGATGTCTTCTGTTCACTCAAATAAAATAAGGCCACCAGAAGCCGCACGAAAAATGAGCAGCAACACTCACCCTTCCCAGAGTATGATCGAACAATTAAAAAAGCAATATAGACAGGATTTGAGGGTTTCTACAACTTACTAGCCTCTAGCCGCTAACATGTAGGTCCTGGATAACCTTATCATTGAAAAGAGTATCCATGTCGATCGCCTCGCTGCTCAAACTGCTCCTCCCATCGACCTACCAATATTCCCCCACCCAGGCTGCCAGGGCGAGGTGTGGGAAAGATGGGTCAAAAGGCGGGGCTTATCTAAAAAAGAAGAAGAAGAGCCCCCCTGGCTCTCACCTCCATCACACTGCCCTCAGACGAGTAGAGGGAGGCCAGGACGGAGCGCGACGCCACCTGGAAGCTGTTGGTGGTCCCCCGGTGGTCCAGATCGTGACAGAGACACGCCGTCAGCAGAGACAGGCTCTCCAAGTCACTGCCGGTGGACACATAGAGAACGCGGTCAGCAGACGTCACGGTCGGCAGGCAGATAGACAGACATACGTACTGAGGTCAGCAATGGCAGTATGATCATTGCTGACAGACAGATATATGTACATACAGACACACAGTTAGACACACTCGTATGGACTGGGGCCAGCACTGAGCAAAGAGGTTATAGCAGCTACTAAGCGAAACAGTGATGAGTCTGGAACGATTACTAAGCACATCAGTGCTGCCAGGGGGACTACAGTAAGCGGATGTGCTGAGATAGGGCAGAATAGGCGAGCCCAATGCGGTTCTAAGATAGCGGCGCGGATCTAGCCGAGTATAACAAGGTCTGAGATATCGCTCTTTGGCCGTAACAGTGACGATTTAAGAATTAAAATCGTAAGAAAAAGTACTACATGTTACGATACGGTATAGTAAGAAGCGCGGGTTCAACGAGTACATGAACACACTGACCTATATCGATGTTATCAGCTCTAATCGAAGACAATAACGAAAATAAAAATATCTGTCGGTGCCTTGTTTATGGAGCGGATACACTAAACAAATACAATCGATGTCCGCATGTCACGAAATGCTCTGTGTGGGAACGAAATAGGGCAAAGGGTCCGGCAAAATATGTAAGCACACGACATTGTCATATTTTATCTCTTTTTGAGTGGAAATGAAGAGATGCTACGCAAGACCGATCGTTTAAATGTGGATAACAAATGGCAGGTTTGCGATCAATATCGTAAAATATTGTGTTGGAGATTAATATGACGCTATGATGCTGGTGTTTAATCCGGTGCTACAAATGATAGTCAGACTGGTGGATAATACAACAGGGTCTCCGCTTTGGTAACTAGAACGGTTGCTTCTGCTTTTCCTAGCGAGCGTAGCCCGTGACCGAGTACAGAGTCCCCCTGTCGATTACAGTCACAGGGTCCTCTCGGTGATACTATACCGTGACACAAGTGTCACCGTTATATTGTCAGTGGCTCCTTCAGACCCGTCCGTGTCATTATCATATTGTTCCCGGCCGCTGCCAGTGTCAGTATTAGTGAGATCGTCTACGGCCGCTGAGTGACACCACTCCAGCCGCTGTCATTATCAATGACGGCATCTGTGTGTCGGTAGGTATCAGTGCTATCATCCCCACCGTCGTCAGTGTCAGTAGCAACGTGCGCGGCCGCTTACGGCGGTGACAAAATCAGTGACAATGTCGCTGTAAGTATCAGGCCGTCTCCGTCCGCTGGCGGCACTGACAGACAGTTATAGTACTGGTGTCAGTGACACTATTCCTGTTGCTGACAGTGTAAGTGTTAGTGTCAGTGTCAGTGTCAGTGCCAGCATGAGTGTCACTGTCAGGCCGTGTCCCTCCTCAGCCGTCACTGACAATGTATATATGTATGTATTACAATCATAGACAATCCACACGGGGCGTGGCGATTACAGTCCAGTGCCAGTGACAATGACAGTGACAGTGTCAGTGTCAGTGTCAGCGAGTGTCAGTGTCAGTGACACCGTCTCCCTCCTCATTCCCCACTGACAGTGACCGGCCGGCCGGCAGCGGGCCCGTATCGACTATCGAGTCGTCGGTAGCAGTGTATCGGCGCCGCCAACCGAGCCTCCTCCTACTCCCAGCACCTATCGAGCGACCGGTGCGGCGCCCCAGAGCTCTATAGTCCGGGCCTGCGGAGTCTCTCCGCTCGCCGCTCAGCCACGTGACACGCCCGCACCCGGCGCTACTCAAACAGACAGAAAGAACACACGCATCGGCTGTCGTTTTTCGTAAATGACGACGCTGGTTCTCGGCCGCGCTCTCTTGGTTTGCCGGGATATTTTCGGACTGTACCGGGCTTTTCTGTCTTAGACTAACTGTATCCGAGGGAGGGTGTATTAGTACATTGTATAGTGATATAATGGTTGGAGATCTCGGCTAATTGACACGCTTGGGCCCACAACATTAGCAGAGCCCACGCCGCCCCTAGACCTTGGTTAGAAATAGAGCTCTATTAAATTATCCTTTGTATAAAAACCACGCAACGTGCTGCGAATAGACTTCTGGGAAGCTTTCAGGCACTACTTCAGGCCCAAATGGGAGTCTGAATTGCGCCATCGCTATATCGACCAGTTCCCGCCTCGCCACTGGCCGCCGCCATAGCCCATTCATAACTTCCGCTCAATGTCCCTTCCTGACGACATATCCCATTACCAATACATTAGGTCTTTCCGCCAGTCCCCATGGAGTCGGGCTTCCCCTTCCCTCCCCGCCCCAGTGCGGACCGCATCGCCTCTATACTCACTCTAAACACCTGCTCTCCACCAGCTGCAGATTCTTCAACATGAGGTAGGCAAAGTGTGCCACGGAGTAGGCGTGGCTGAAGTTGTGGTAGGGCGGGTCGCGGTAGCCTTTCCGCACCATCAACACGAACCTGTCGGCAATCGTTCGTCATCACCACCAGCCTGCTGTTACGGCAGCGGTTGTCACACCGCAGAAAGGAAGAACTAGATAGCTAGTAACTGTCCCAGGGCCCTATAACATATAACTTCCAATATCCAGCAGTGAGCGTTAGAAGTGGGGTCAGTTGGGACGCTCGCCAGCGGTCTCCGGGGGCTGACCGCAGCAGTAGCAGCAGCCGCCCGGCCCCCGTCCAGCCAAGTCAGCAGCCGCGTCAACAGAGGTGCTGCCAACTGAGCGGACCGGGGGTGGTCGTCGCGAGGAGGGCGGAGAAGCAGTGACAACAGGGAGGCATTATGACTTTAGGTGTCGGACAGCACCGGACATGCGGCGTATATAAATGATTAATGAACTGGCTTCAGCAGCCTCGGATTACGTCTACAGGGAGGGGTATGCACACTGTGACACGTTGCACGATGGTATAAGGACGGAAAAGACATTCCGAAACTCATCAAAAATGTTATGCGTCGCTTCAGTAATAATAAAATCAACATACCGGGTGCCACCATCCAGTAATTCCACTAAACTGCAACTTCACATTCCGCCTGACATTGACTTCCGCAAAGTGTATAATTAAATTACACATACGAGGGAATTTCCAGTCCTAGACATGTCAATACATCTCTATATCTATCAATATCAATTTATATCTCTACATCAACCCACCTCTAACTCCAAATGTAATAGTCTATACCACAATAGATGTCGTATTGCTACGAGTCTGAGCAGCCCGACGCGGACGGACGAATTTCAACTTATTGTCCCTCTCTTGGGCGCTGAATGGCCCTCACCTGGCCAGAGTGCTCCGCTCGATGCCGAACCGGTGCACCAGCCCGAGGACCCGAACCGGTCCGGTGCACTGTCCCTCACCTGGCCAGAGTACTCCGCTCGATGCCGAACCGATGCACCAGTCCCAGGTCCTCGTACATGGCCAGCACGGCGGCGGGCCACCGGCGCTCCTCCAGGTCGCGCGGGAAGTACTCCCAGGCCGTGAAGGAGGGCGAGTAGCGCGCCACAGAGCCCGTGTTTTCTGCGCACAGCTGGTCAGTCTCCTCCCGCGATACCTAGAACAAAGGGTCGGGTCATGGGGTCAGGTCTTTGGGCCAGACACGGAGAGAAGTCACAGCTGGTCAGTCTCCTCTCGAGATAGATACCTGAGGAGAAGGGGTGAGGTCAGGTGGGAGGTCACAGAGACGGTCACGGGGTCACCGGGCGTTGTGGTAGAATCAGATCACAGGGTCACACAACAGGAGCAAGATACAAGAGGTTACAGGGACAGGTCACAGCCGGTCAATCTCCTCCCGGGATGCCTTGGAAAGACGGCGAGGTCACAGGATCAGATACAGGGTCCTGGACCAGGTCACAGTATCACGTTACAGTTGTTATTCAAACTAACTATGAGGGGAGAACATAGCAGGGCGGGACATGTCAAGTTACGATACAGTGTGCAATGTGATATGAGCATTGAGCACGTGAATGAATTGCAAATGCGTGGAATGTAAATGGAAGAATACGTAAAATCAGCTCCAATGCTACAGTTCATCCCGCGGAACACAAGGGCGTGCTGCCGAACATGGAATATGTATGTGACGAGAGACCACAGCGCGGGTGGCGGGCGCAGACCTGATCTGTCCTCAGAGGTAACAATGGGCTCGGACAGTGGCACACATGTAAACAATGACAGACAATGTATCATACCAGCGGCCGTATACAGCGAACAGACACAGAGTTTATTTTACAGAAGGCTAACGTATGAAGTGACATGGCCCAAATGTTTATTTGATTGTTCACATGTTGTCACGTTGTCAAGTGCGTGCGCTCAAACCAGGACATATTTCGTTCCTAACTATGTGTGGCCCTGGAGTGACACCAGCTTAAAACAGACACCAGCTTAAAACAACCCATGCTGGTCTCATGGACAACAGCCAGCATGGACTAGAGTACTGCAGGACCCACTGCAGCTTTAAACGGGGATTGCCAGTTAGAAATTAGTACACGTTCACGTTCGTTGTAGTACACGTTCTTTATGCCGTTGATCGTTACGTTGTTTCCGATGCAAGTTATTCTACCTACTCGCTTTCACCCAAAGCCATCCGTACTTTACTCGTCCGATGAGCGTGGTTGTCACGGGATGCCCTTCGGCCCCTCCCCTCATACATTCCACTTCCTTCGACCTTACCCACCTGCATGTGGTACATCATGAGCTCGTTGGAGAGCTGGACGCGCTCCTGCGTGTCCATGATCTTGCGGTACATGAAGGAGTTGACCAGCGCGATGCCACAGTAGATGGCAAAGGCCCGCGCCGCCTCCTCGTCAAACCTCGTAAAGTGCGGACCGGTCACCTTGTTGCACAGTTCGGCCACGCCTAGCACTTCCTTGTCGTCCTTGATGGGGAAACACAGGATGTTCCTGTGGACGAGAGAGGGCGGGGGTCAGCGCAGCAGTGGAAAGAGCAACGGGGGATGGTGGGCGTGAGAGCATCGATCACAGACACGGTAAAACATTGGGGGGGGGGGGGGGTAATGAGTCAAAAACTAACCGAAGTCTTCACTACAGTGAATGTTAAATGAAGATCTGGTCATGACGATATAAATAACAATGACCACACACCTCATCCCTGTCAGCACTAAAATGAGAATTAAAGTGTTTCCAGTAGGACCACTAGCCCCTGTCCCCTCAGCGTTTGGACATAATACCGACCGAACCGACCCCGTATTAGCTGAGCCTCGCGGCGTTTAAGACCCAACTCTTCACCAATTCAGCGCGAGATGCGCCCATAGCCGCGCCAACGGTCAGCGAGATGGGCGTGACCTGGATTCCAGAGCTGATGTGCCTCGCCTCACGGGCTCACGGCTGAGGTCGAGCGACCAGTGGCCTCTGCAGGACAGGCCTTCGCGACCGCAGCGGTGTCACGGCGGGTATACCGCCACCATTTACAATGGAGATGGGTCTGTATCTACACTAGGCGAGTTATTCAACTGACCTATACCACAGGCTCGCCTGTTGAGTGAGCAATAGCATGCAATATGTATCACAGCCATGGTGATGCACCACCCACGGTGCATCAACACTTATGGTGATGACATACAGGTAGCAGGCCCACGATAATGGCATGAAACGATGTTGAAATTCAAGGATTAAAACATTCAATAATTATTTTCAAGCAACATCTACCTATTCATTCGGCTCGCTCGTGAGTCGCGTATCGCGTATAAATACATTTCAGAAATACAACCTATTCCTACCTAACAGGCCTGAACGCGATTTAGATCACCTTTCTCAAGACTAAAGACTGACTTTTCTTACGCCTATTTGCTTTACTTTCTTTATTCTGCAAGCATCAATCCGTTCCGTCAATTGACAAATGTTTGAATGGATGGATCCTGTCAATCCGTCTATTCAAACATTCGAATTAAATTTAAAGAAATTAAAAACGTAGACATGTTGACGCTATGTGCAATGTGCATTGAACATATCGTGCGACATAATTCGCAATGTCCCATCACATGGTATTCCTTGTCCATATCCATGCATATAGAGTCAAGCATACAACTTTGGGGATGCTCTGTTGCAATCTTTAGCAAATTGACATATTGCAAAACGGTAGGTTTACATATAGCTTGTGACTGGCATCGTGTCCTTTGCTTAGATATATGGAACATCATGTCAACGTCACTGAGCTGAATAGCGCGTATATTAGTTCGGTTCCGTACGTTTGCACTTATTGACTTCATTCATTTACCGTAAATAATGTTGTAACTGCTTTGAACACAGGGTCAAATCGATGCGATACGACCGTAATCCATCTTCCTATATCGTCACTACTTCTCGGCCCATTAAGCCTCAGCACAATACAATCTAAAAGGGTCCTTCATGCAAAGCGAGTCATTTTGGAATAGGTCAAAGTATATAGGATTAAACTTGCGGTTACTGCATACCGCTGATTTGCGACACAATTCTTAGCGCATGTGGGTACTTAGCATCGCTTAGACCACGGAGACAGTACAAAGTAGCTGTTATATATCCTATTTTCGGGACTGCTGAAGCTACCAGAAACAAGCTACAGCAGATGTCCATTGACGAGAAATGGCAGAGAGGATCAAGGTCCGAGGTCACGTACGCGCAGCGTATGCAGCAGATTACAGTGAAGGGCACACCACATGACGATCTCATCCCATCAGCGTCAGAGTGCCGTCACAGTGTGCCGTTGGAGCTGCGGCCGCGTCACGGCCGCCGTGACGGGAGCGTCACAGTCGGTCCGGGGCCCGTCACGCAGCCGGCGCCCGTAAACACACGCGGCAGCGGTGACGCCATGATGTAGTGTAAACACGGCAGGACGGACTGAGCAGGACACGGCTCACACAGGACTGAGCCGAGTCCGGGACACAGTGGCCAGTGGGCAGAGTCCCGGACACAGACCCGACAGTCAAACCCGGACACAGCTCGTACAGGGTACAACAAGGCTCGGACAGAACCCAGTGCCGGACACAACTCAGACAGAACTAGGTACCGCATACAAACCCGAAAATGGACAGAATTGGGTCCCAGATACGCTGGACAGATGACAGGACGGAGTCCCGGACACAGGCCTGAATACAGACAGAATCGAGTTCCAGATACAGTCCGAACAGATCTCCGGACAGATCTCCGAATACACACCGGCCAGCGGACAGGACAGAGTCCCGGACACAATACCGGCAGATATATTCATTATCCATCCTGTGCGGCGTGGTAACGGAGCAACGGAGAGGTAAGAGGGATGGCACGACCTGCAAATTTTATCTGCGGTGGCCAGACATGCACCAGATAGAACAATATACGAGTACGTGGCTGGAGAATAAGACAATAGCCCATCCCTATCCAAAGGATCTACACGGGTTTGCCGGACATACATACCGGATGGAGAATACTCCAGATCAACACCCGGGATGGGTCGTCACGACTGGGACCGCACCAGGATGCTGGTGTGGTTCGACCCGGTCCTATGGGACCCGAATCACCACCACCACTCAGCACTAACACCACGGAGAGGTGGGCGCCCGCCCGGCCGGCCCGCCGGCGACTGTGCGCCGCCCGCCCCCAACAGCGACTGACGGCGGCGGCGGCGCGCGTGCCGACGACGCGCGTCGAACGCGACGGCGCGCGGCCACCGGTCGGCACCTGGGAGGACCGCACCGGCCCGCGCCAGTCGAAGGTCGCGCTGCCTTTAGAACCTTAGAACATATCCACCAGCATATCACCCACGGCACACAACGGACCTACCTCCATGACATTCAGACTGCAACTACAAACCCACAACAACGTCCCCGGTATACCACCTCAGAATGCCGTAAGGACTACCGCAATACCCTGAGTTCACTGTCCCAACCCGGACCGTCCCCAGGGCACCGTGATGAGTCCGGAACCCCTCCCCCACGCGCACGTCATGTCAGTACCCCCCCCCCCCCCCAGGACACCCCTAACACTACCCCAGGTCACATCCCAGCGCCTGGTAATGACTGCGGCAAAAATAGATCGGGCTCGTTGTGTGCCGGATACGGTCCGAGCCCTGTCCGATAGCCGGGGCACGCCAGGTCACTGTCGCGGGCCATCACGTGCTATTAGAGATACGGCTGCCCCGGAGGACGGCGCGGTTAGAACACGCATACCCTTCTGCGTGCGTCATGCGTGTGGGGGTATGCACGAACGAATGGATAGGACGGAAATGAGCACGCATGGATGGGAGCATAGAAGCCAGAGGGTGAAGAGTGAGAAGTGCGCGCTCGGAACCCGACGGGTCAGAGAAGGGGGGGGGGGGGGGTCGATCGCCCCGGATCCGCCCGGGAAGATTTGAGGCGCAGTAGGCCGTTGGCAATTTGTCGGTCCAGTATCCAATTTTGTTTAATTTGGATGGAAATTTACTTCCAGCAGGCAAACTTCCCATCTGAAACCAAATCACAAATCAAAATAAATCCATCCTCTAAAATAAAAATGGTATATGAACGTCCATTCGAGCCTGGAGCATCCATGATTTACGTTTAGGGAATTCTAGAACCTATAAGCGCGGAACCGTTAGGTCTGGCTCGGTCCAGTGGGGGAAACTGTGGTCAAATCTTCTATTTTTGGAAGCCTTCCATTTTTGGAAGGACCTTCCATAAATGGGTATGCATTTTCCAAAAATGGAAGGCTTCCAAAATTGGAAGGTCTAATCTCAGTGTTCCCAACTGTGATTCACATTCTTTGATTTAAGTTACGGCCTTTTTAAATGTGTAACATTAATAGTTGATTTTGCCATTTATGATCATTGATATAAGGAGAAGCAGCAGTGCTAGTGTTGGTAATACAGGCATGCTATGTCAATGTACATAGTGATATAATAGCATGGTGTCCTGGGGCACTGCTCTCTTTTTCTACTTCTAGCCCGCGCACCGACGGGGGTCTGCGCCAACTTAGTACCGACGGGGGGGGGGGGGCGGATGACCGCCCCCCCCCTGAGATCTCGAGAACGAAGCAAGATAGCGACAAGCGGTAAACGGCATCGGATACGCACAGTCAAGATCTACAATTTTTACTAAGGTCATTTTCAGGTCAGGTCAAAGATGACGTCACAGGGGTCGAAAAAGTCAAAATGGCGGCGCTAAATATGGAGAGAGTTTTTCTCGAATAACTTTCGAATTAGTCAAGATAGGAACAAACTAAGGTCATCATCGTGATCCTCTCGTCAATCCGCATCGAATGATATATATGTTGACCTCGAAAGGTCAAGGTCAAAGGTTGACCTCAGGTCACGTGACCTCGAGGTCATCATGTATATCATTCGATGCGTCTTGACGAGCTGAACACAATGAGACCATCCACGCGTCTGTATCTTGTTCCTGTACGGAGTTATTGGCCAAAAACCTTTGGTGACCTTTGATGACGTCACATGACCTCACAGCTGCCCAACAGCAAAACAGACCTCAAGGTAGTGAAGGTTGACCGTATATGAAGTCATGTATGGTATATGGGGCCATTCCGACCCGTTTTAGTGGTAAAAACAGGGAGTTGATTTTTCCCCCATTGACTTATAATGGGGAGGTCGCAAAATTGACCTGACCTTAGGTCACCGATATCAAAATTCCGAGATATACAAATTATAGCTACTAATGACCTTATAACATCCTGCGACTTTCAAAGGCCTCCGACATCTACTGTAGCTCTGGCACGGTGACAAAGTTGCAAAAAAGTGACTTGAGGTTGGGTCATTCAAAGTGACCTGGTGACCTGACCTTGAAAGGTAGGAGGTTCAAACTTGCACACCATGTGTAAAATTGATAAGGGAATAGTCATACCAAATTTCGCGGCGCTACGCGCCGCGGTTTTCCCGCTATTCGCGAAAAACCTCAGGGGGGGGCGGATATCCGCCCCCCCCCCCCGTCGGTGCGCGGGCT